TTTATTCTGTCTTTAGATACTGAAGATGGAATCTGATAGAATCCGAAACGTTTATCAATGTCCCCTTTTTGTCAATAAACAATGTTGTTTATCATAAGGGAATAATAGTGTGAGATATTACTTAACTGAAATTTACAGTTTTATTTATCATCAGTAATATTTCATTATTGTAACCTAAGCTATGAAAATAATTAAAACATTATATTATTTTCTTATGATCATTAATATCAGCAACAAAACACTAAAAAAAAACTACTACACTCACCATTCGGGGAATTAAGAAAAAGCTTTAGATCGAACTATAACCCGAAATGCTATTCTCAGTGTTTTGAAACCGCCAGTTATTCCTTTATCCAGCCTCATATTTCAGCATGTCATCCATCATTTTTCTAGACCTTCTTTTTTTCTTGTCTTTCAAAGCATATTTTATAAGAGAAAAACAAAATCGTAGTTTGAGATCTGTCTCACTGCAGATGACCATCTAAAAGAATAAAGTGCATTTTTATTGTTTTAGAAAATATCGTGTTGTTCCGTCTCCTATAACGACGTAAAGTTTGGTATCTTTAAAAGCATGGCCTTAAAAGTAGGCGCTATGTGACATATGTCAGCAAACACATGCATATTCTATATATTGTCATTATAAAAGTCATAATATCTGCACATGCACATGGACGATTTCTATAGAAAATCGTTCTCTAAAAGATAGTGCTTTGCGAAACACTTAGAATAAATGCAGATTGCCAATAAGAACATTCTAAAACGGTCGGTATATAACGAATAAAGCGACATCGTCATCGGTCATGAAAGATTGCACTGAGCATGCCTCACTTGAATGAGAAGAGCTGAAGTGATAAAGTAAGCGACGTGTGTATGTCTGTATACATCTTTAGCTAGAACCACGACAGGCACTTATTTCGCAAACAAATACAATTTTAATATCACTCACGCTACGATAACTTTTCATTATTAACAATTTAGAATTAAACTTGTTGAAGATTAAGGATAAAAACAAAAATAATGAGAATAAATAATTCCGATTTTGTAACGCAATTCCTCAATGGTTGCACATCTCCAAATATCCAATTATTCAGTTTGAAATTCAGCAGCTCACATACGGTTGTAGGCTTACAACGTATTAAAATCATACATTAGAATTTACCTTAGAACTTCCATCATATAAAACAGACTTCACATATAACAATTGAATGTTTTTCTTTGAAGAACATAAATATCACTTTTGGTTTTTATTTAAATCATTCAAGATGATTTTTGATTCACAGTCGGTATAGATTTTTTCTTAAATAATCAACTTAAACCTACAGTATCAATAAATCTGTGTTGGATAACTTACCGCAACATTCCTATGATATTTAAAAAAAAAATCCTCCTGTGAGACAGCGGTAAGTTTACGGACTTACAACGTTAAAATCCGGGATTCGATTCTCCGCGGTAGACACAAGCATCATCTTTTAAAGGGTTTGTTTTGTTTATTGAATTTCGCGCAAAGCTACTTGAGGGCTATACGCTCTAGCTAATTTAGTAGTGATAGACTAGAGGTAAGGCAAAGCACAGATAGTCCATTGTATAGCTTTGAGCTAAAATAAACGTTTAAAGGTACACATAGTGTGAGTGCCTGCTTTACAATGTAGGTGGTTATCAATATTTGTATATGAGGCTAAAATCCGTCTGTTTGCAAAACTCTTCCCACAGTTTAAGTCCGATTTGGAAGAAACTTTGCACGGTTTTTCAACATCATAAGGGGAAGTTGCTAACAAAGTATATTTAATGCGTGTGTCCACGTTGTTTTAAGAAATAAGTCAATAACGTATTCATATCGCACCAAAATGAGAAATATTTATGAAATAGGCCCTCACTAAAATCGAAAAATAATAGGACCTTATTTTATAACATTTTATCCTCAATCGCTTCCCTAATGGAGAAATGGTTCTTTTCTCTTTTTTAATAATGTACATTAATTTTGTACATTTATTATTATCAAAATGCCTTCATTGGTACAGCGGTATGTCTACGAACTTACAACGCTAAAAACCGGGTTCCGATACCAGCAGTGAACAAAGCACAAATAGCTTATTTTGTAGATTTGTGCTTCATAACTAACAAACAAACAATTATTATCAACAAAATTAATTTTTCAATAAAACTTCTAAAATTGTGGTAAAGTGACTTTAATGCAGAATTTCAAATTGAGTCTTTCTTGTGGAGAATCATTGTGACACTTCAGAAGAAAAGTGACTTTTTCTGTTGGAGAATCCAAGCGTACGCTATGAATTGAATTGTTCTGTGACCGACGAAATCGCAACTTCTTCGTACTGAGTTCGTTGCATACAAATTTGCAGGGATTTTGTAGTAACTCGATCTTCGTAAGTTAAACAAGTATTTTTTTTTTTTACTTTTTACTTCAGGATGAGTACAAAGTGTTCAAAATCATCGAAAATAAAGATGCCAAACGGGAAAATTACTTATCACGAAAAAGTTTGGAACTTTGAAAAAGAATATGAAATGTCAGAATGCAAGTTACAGAAAGAAAGAGCAACTAAAAGATAGGCTTGTTCACCAAATTATGAAGTAAGATCTAGTAAGAAGAAGCAAGGAACAAACCCGAAATACAGAAGTACATCAAATTGTTCGCAAAGTTGCAGTTAGAAGAAGTCAGAAGTAATTTTGTGACAGAGAAGCACACCGTTCAGCTGACCATGATTCTGAACGCAGAAGAAATAATTAAGCTATTTATTCCTTAGACCATCAAGCAGCCAGGTGAGCTCAAAATAATGTTTCAAGTTTGGCAGCTTTAAGCTATGTTCCAGAAACTTTTGAATCCAAAACAGGAGTCGGTAAAATGTGTCTCTTCTGCTAGTATTGTTCAGCCCTACTGTTTCTTGGGGAATCTTCAACAATGTGTTGCATGAATGGCAAAGTGAAGCTCAATGATTTGCCAGTTGCTCCAGATTTTGTACTTGTCTTATTCCTGGTGGAGTCAGCTGAATCCAAACACTTTTTTGGCCAGTATTCTCAAATACTATTGGATTTTTAGTATGACATCTATGGGTTGCCTTGAACCCACAGTCTCTGGTTGGAATAACTGAAATCCCTTCTTCTGTGTACAAGGTCAAATCCACCATATGATTGGATCTTTGGCTCCTTTAAATGATTTGACAGTTCCGAAATTTTGCCTAATATTTTCATTGATTCACAAATGGAACAAGTTCAGTTAAGAATGAACATATGCAATAGACTGAGGGAGGAAATTGTTGAAAAATTGTCTGCTCTGCTTGTTGAACATAATAAGTATGTCAAGATCCTGAAATGTGCAAGGGAAACCATGGATGGAAGCAGTGAAACAGGTCCAAGAGTTATGATGAATGAGAACATGAATGACGATTTAATTCTCCATCCTCAGGTGAAATTGCTGTGCTGATACCATACCAAAATGTTGAAAACCGTGATACTGTTTTGCGTCACAAAGATCAAAGCCTGGAGCGAATTTCAGAGCTGCATTGGAAATACGATGTTCTTCAATATTTTCTGCTTCTAGAGAATGGTTCAGATGGTTGGAAAATCTATCTTGAAAGGGAAGATGGCAAGAAATTTGGATATTTGCAATACTATTCCTAACGAATTATGGTAAGGCCAACTGCATCCATTATTCTCAGGGGCCAATGATTATTCCAAATGTATGTTGTTGATCAGTGTGTCAAGATTGAGACTGAGCGTTTGCAGTACCTTCACGAGCACTTGATTTTCAGGACAGTATATTATCATCTGATGGAAATCCAAATCAAACTGGCCAAAGAGTCATTCTGCCATCATCCTTCACTGGTGGGCCACGCTAACTACCTGAGAAACCGCAGGATGCCATGACATATATGAGAATTTATGACAAACCAGACTTCTTTATCACAATGACAACAAATCCCCGATGGAAGGAAATTGTTCAAGCCTTCTTCCAAACCAATCTCCTCAAGACAGATCAAATATTGTGGCACATGTGTTCCGGCAGAAAGTGAAACCTTATGCAAATTTTGACAAAAGAAAAGATATTTCGCCGATCAATTGCCTGACTATATTCAATTGAATTCCGGAAAAAAGAATTGTCCCATCTCAATTTAATGCTGTTGCCAATGAAAAAGATATAAAAAATCAGGGCTGAACAAACTGTATTGCATTGTTTTGGCAAACATGGTTCATGGCCCATGAGGAGTAATCAATCCACACTCTGATTGCATGGTTGATGACAAATATGCAAAGAATTTTTCCAAGCCATTCAAAGCTGGCACAGAAGTATCACATGATGATTATCCACTATATCATAGGAAAAATATCAGTGATTGAGGAAACAGTGCAACAATAAGGATGAAGGTCAATGTATCATATATTGATCAAGAAATCAACAAACAGTGGCTTGTTCCATACAATCCTTACATGTCACACCAATTCAACTGCCACATGAATGTAGAACTTTGTATGTCAGTGAAAGCAATCAGGTATGTGCTGAAATATGTACACTGGAGATGTGACAAAAATGTCTTTGCATTACAAAATTCTGAAAATCAGTCGAGAGATGAAATTTCAGAATTTAAAACTGCAAGATATGTAGGTGCAAATGACCCTGTATGGAGGATACTGGAGTTCCCAATGCATAATCGTTACCCACCAGTTGTGCATTTGGCAGTATACCTTGAAAATTATCAACATGTATACTACACAGTGTACCAATCTATAATACGAGCCATGGCGGAGCCGCCAAAAACCACACTCACAGAGTTTTTCATCTTTAAAACAAAGCTCTTCTATTTTCATGTACCAATGTTCTATATATGGAATGTAATTGGAAAAAAAGGGCTCAAACGAGGTACTGAAACCGACAATGTTGATGTCAAACAAACAGATGTTATTGATCGAGTGTACACTATCAATCCAAAACAGTGATAATGCTTTTTTCTCTGAATGCTGTTGCATCATGGCCAGAGTCCAGAGTCTTTTGAAGATTTAAGAAAAATCAATGGGTGGTCTGTGACACATACAGAGAAGTCTGTCTAATGCTGAGGCTTTCAGAATATGATGAACATTTGCACAACACATTGACAAAAGCCAACAGTTGTAGCTCACCTTCAGTATTGCTTTCAATATTTACTGTGCTCCTTGCCTACTGTGACCCAAGTAGCCCAAAATAACTTTTACGACAGAGCTTTAGGGATTGCTCGACTGAAGATATCATACATCGCCAACAACATGTCAGAAAAAACTTGGATCTCACTTCTGATGATGCCATGTACAGTGAAGTACTACTGGATATTGAAAGCAAAGTACAAAGCATTGGTGGCATGATTCTCAAAACATAAGCAGTAAATCAAAGACAAAGGAATACACGATGACCACACATTTCAATGCTCAAAAGCAGATGGATTATGTTGAAGAAAATGAGCCCAGATCAAATAATAATAAATTCCCTGACTTTGCAGAGTCTGGTCAAGGTATTGTCATATTTTTGGATGGGCCTGGAGGATCAGATCAAAAATACTTGATTAATTTAATTCTCTTCAGAATAATGGCGGGTAACAGCATTGTTATGGCAAATGCATCAAGTGGCATTGCAGCAATACTGCTGAATGGGTGCCGCACCCTTCATAGCACCTTAAAAATTTCATTGGATATCAACAAGACAGATATGCCAATGTGTGGAATTAAGAAGGGCACAGCATTGGCAAGTATCAGTTACATTGTTAAATGACTCGTTGTTGATGAGGCTCCCATGACCAACTGATCAGCATTCGAGGCACTGAATCGTTCGCTTAGGGACATAAGGCAAAATGATGTACCATTTGGTGGCATTCCTAATCTGTTATGTGGAGATTTTCGTCAAATCCTTCCATCAAGAATTGAACCAGAGGCAGCATTGTGGATGCTTGCTTAAAGAAGTCAACCCTCTGGAAACATGTTCAAATTGTGTCCTTGATCACAAACATGCGATTAAGGATGACTGGTGAACCTCGAGCAGAAATGTTTTACAAAATATTACTGAAATTGAGCAATGGAGAAATTCCTTTTGTTCATCAGCCTGATGTTATTGATCTCTCAGGTGAGACTGGCACTTTTGTTACGTCTACTGAAGGTTTGAAACGAAACGTCTTTCCCGGTTAGAAGAAGAACTACACAAACTTTGACTAGGTGGCTGATAGGTGCATCCTATCACCTCTGAATGATACAATACGTGCCTTGAATTTCACCTTCATGACAGAACTCTCAGGTGAGATAAAGGAATTCAAGTCATTTGATTCTGTGGAAGACTCTTTAGCAATGGCGTGCCCATCGGAATTCTTGAACTCAATAAATTTGTCTGGAATGCCTCCACATTGTCTCTTACTGAAAAAAGTAGCACCAATCATGATTTTAAGATCATTGTACCGACCCACAGTGACCAACGGCACCCGATGTGTAGTTATGAGTCTTTTCCGAAACTTAATTAAAACCAAAATAATCACTGGAAAATTTAAAGGAGAATTGGTGTGCATCCCCAGAATCCCGGGTGTTCTCGCTGAAACAACATTGACATTCACATACAGGAGGCTTCAATTTTTCTGTTATACAAAGTTTCTGCATGACCACCAACAAAAGTCAAGATCAAGCTTTCAACTCTCTTGGAATGAGACTTTTACGCATGGTATGGTATATGGGACATTGTCAAGAACTGGATCTCCTAACAACATGTTCATACTCACAAAAGAGGCAGATAAAAAACTTACAATGTCGTATATCAAGAAGTTATTTAGTCAGTAATAAAATGTTCAAGAAGGTTACTTATATTCTATCGGTTAAGGTTGTCATACTAAAATAATGGGACCAAAGGCTTAACAACGCCTTCCGCAGGAACTAGCACAAACAGCCATTTCTGCTAGTATTATGTATTGATCATAACCGTTATTAAGTATTTAATTATAAAGTGGTTTTGTTTATTGAAACAAGGATCGACTATAGAATCTAAGTTGTTGCAGTTATTGTTTTTCTGTTTTAATCATAGTAATATTTGTACGATTTAAAATTTTAAAAAATGTTTCATAATTAACGAAATGAGTTAGATCGAGATTTTTGTGTCGTATCTAAGCATATTTCCTGGTTTTGGTATCAAATATACCTTAAAAACCGTTTCTGAGTTATTAAAAAGTAAAACACATCATTCTGACAAATTCTGTATTACATTTTACTTGCAAATCGTGAAAAAAGCATTGTTACGAAAATAAGTCGCATAAAATCTCAACGACTATTTTCTTTCTTGTAAATTATTATTGAGAGACGTCCAGAGCGTTTTTCTAAATTTTTCTTTCGGTTTGTTTGTTTGTTTTTGAATTTCGCGCAAAGTTACACGAGGGCTATGTGCGCTAGCCGTCCCTAATTTAGCAGTGTAAGACTAGAGGGAAGGCAGATAGTCATCACCACCCACCGCCAACTCTTGGGCTACTCTTTTACCAACGAATAGTGGGATTGACCGTCACATTATAAAGGCTGAAAGGGCGAGCATGTTTGGTGTGACGGGGATTCGAACTTGCGACCCTCAGATTGCGAGTCGAGCGCCCTAACCACCTGGCCATGCCGGGCCTATTTTCCTTTCTGTTCAATGAATAAACCGTAATGACAAGAAACTTTTTCGAGCATCAAAATCAAAAACAAATATCCGAACAGCTCTTCATAGTAGCATCATATGATGTTATTAATCTTACATAAGACTCAAAAATTTACATTAAACGTTTTGTTACTTCATTCCCAGAAAAGCATTATTAGCTCCTACTTATATGAAATTTTCTAAATTAGACTAACAACGCTATAAACCGGGTTTCGATACCCGTGGTGGGCAGAGCACAAATAGGCCATGGTGTAGCTTTGTGCTTAGTTACAAACAAAGCCTTTACGCTTAACAAATTTATCAGTTGGCTATAAATTAAAATTACTTCAAATATAATAAACATAGAAATCGATTTGTTTTGTTTTTTTTTGTTTTTTTTTAGCCTTCTCTTTTCAGCTTGTCTATTTTGACGTGATGTCTTGCATCACTGTCAAGTTTCTAAATCACCAGTGCTAGAGAGAATCATTCGTGTTCTCTGAAGACGAGGTTAATGTCGTCTTTCCGTCTGACAGTCGTTAATCTCGTATGTGCTATATAAGCAGATTTTTGGGACCAGTTGTCATGTGATCAGCTCATGTAGACACAATATGGTACATGGTTTCATCCAAATAAAGTAAATCGGGAAAAAATATATAATTACGTCTATCCACAATGCGTGTTTTGTTTTAGTCTCCTTAATAAATATTAAAAATTAAAATAACCTTAATAATTTCCTTTTCATAACGAACCACACCGATAAAAGAAATCCCCATTGAATACCTTTGCTAGCTGATTTGTTGCATCCATTTGTTTCTTAGTGCTTGCCCCTCCTCTCCCCTCTTTCGGCAGTCCCCCCCCAGTGGAACAGCTAGAAACCGGGTTTCGGTACCCGTGATGAGAAGAGCACAGATAGCCCATTGTGTAACTTTTTGCTTAACTTCAAACAAACAAACTCTCGGCAGTCGTACAGTGTCACTTATTTCGTGCAGTTATACATCGGCACCCAAAAAAAGCAGCTCATTGTGACGTCAAAACTGTAGGGTTTTCTATCGACAAACAGAGTTGTTGCCAGCAAACTACGAGTAATTGAAAGCGATAGCAGAGTTTTCGATAAGGTAATAGATACTAGCTGACACGAAACCGTGGACAGAGTTAGACACCGAGCCCATTAAACTGTCTGAGTCATTCATTGGAAACGTTAAAAAGTGCACAGCGTAACGATTTTCAAAACTTTATTGAAGGTAACAGGTCTTACCTAGAAATTCCTACACATTTTGATATATCAGATATTCACCATCATCATGAAATATACAGCAGTGAAACACTATTCCAATGTTTATATACCTTTCCCATATTGCATAATTCAAAACTTCGACCTAACACTTAACATAATTGGTGGTGCCATCTGTTTGTCATTATCTTTTAAAATAAATTTCAAGAAGTGATTCACATACGAAGAGGGTTAAGAACTATTTGGACTTTATTAAAAATTAAGGAGGTTAAAGGAAGAAAATCAAAGATGGTCAGTTCTTAAAAGCAGGAAGATAACTGAAGAAAAGTTTGCATAGAAGTTGAGGAAATATCAGATATTGTTTTAAACCTCTATGGTGTGATAAATGCTCTAACTTGTGTCGGAGTATGTTACTTATATCCTATAGTAACTGTGTTAATTATTTGATCTATACACAGTGAACGACCACACCGTAGACCTGTTCAGTGTACATAAGCTTGAAATAAATTATGGCCAGAACATAAAATAACAACTAGTTTTATTAACTTATAAGAGAAAGTAAAAATAATATAATAATGTTAACCATACTATATCCAGTGCCAACAAGGCTTTTCGTTCTATACTACTGTTCGTCAGGCCGTCTGGAATACAAAGGACATAACAGTAATTTTAATGTCATTATATTCCAGTACTACTATAGAAACTGGCGAACCAGATATTTGGCAGAATCTGAAAGCTTGTTTATTTGTTTTTTGTAATTAAGCATAAAGCTACACAATGGGCTATTTGTACTCTGCCCACCACGGGTATCGAAACCCAGATTCTAGCGTTGTAAGTCCGCAGACATTCCGCTGAATGAGAAAATGGTCAAGATGGAAACTGATGAGTCGAGTGTCACGACAAGGCCTAATTTTTTTACGGTTTGGACCAAACATTACAGCTTTAGTTTTAGAGCCACTCAGTTTAAGACTCAAAAGTTAGCATCATTGGAAAAACGATCAACGGCTTGCTGAAAACCCCCTAGTATGGCTGTGTCATATCTATACTAAAATAAACGGATAGGATAGCCAGGTTGTGATACATCTGTAACATAAAGTAAAG